TAGCTACATGCATTCCCACAGTTTTGACCCCATATTCATGATGCCGCCCCTGCCACACAGGCTAGTTTTATAAAGATATAAAAACCTAACCAGTATATAAGTCTGTATTTGCTGAATATACAAAGTATACTTTAACGGCTTACTTAAACTATGAAGAATTAATAGCATTGAATCCTGAGCTGATTCACAAAGTTATGCAGGCATGGATAGGTTAATTCATCGCATCTCTTATAAATTCAAAGTAAGACTACAAATTTGCATCAAGCACCCAAATAACTACTTGCAAATCAGTTGAAATATCAAATAAAACTCATGTACCATCCATTTAGAGAAGCGATTCCATTCATTTACTTTCGGGTTGTGTTTAAAATATCAACAACTTTTGAAAAGATGTGTTATACGGGTTATACTGATAACACTGTATTGTACTACTGCAGGGCATAGAAATACCGGAAAGATCTTCACTAATATTTCGTACCCAAGTCTTTATTTTGTCATTAGGAAAATATAACTATGTAGTCAGAAAATATCTCTACATATGACGAGTTGAAAGTAGTGTTAGAATACCATGAAAACTCACATAAAATTAGCACGCTTTCATCTAATGCACACCATTTATATTACTTATCATGCCGTTTGCTGCTTTGTTTCCTTTTCTTCTATTGTCAGGAAAACTGTGGTAGTAAGACTGTGGTAATTCAACGTGACTAACTAATTTTCAGTAGTTAGCTACAGCAGCCGACTGGGTAGATATACTATTCCGGAAACTTTCAAAGACTCTGAACTTTTTCTTTATGCTGAAAAGCAAATGCCAACAAAGCGAACAATTTCAAGGTCACCTTAAATATATTGGATACTGGACGATCTTAAATAGCTTTGTGTTTTGAATGACAAGGTCAGGCCGATTTGTTCTTTTGGGATGAGGTGTTCTATTTCCGTAAAAGGTAATACCACTTAATCCACTAACATGGCCTGGTTCTTTTTGATTTTTTTCTTGACTTTTGTGTGTTAACATGGTAGTTTGCTTCTGTTGGATTCGTGAAGCTAGTGTTCATGTGTTGTGTCATGTACTCATCAAAGTTTTATATTGGTATCTTTCTAATATCATAAATACTTCGTAATTTTTAGCCTGATATCCATATGCATTTTCAATTGATTTTTCAAACCATTAAAGAATGCATCATGTTCCCTTCTTAAATGGTTAGGATTGTATATATAAAGCAAACGTTTGCTCTATAGGAGTACTGCTATAATCTTTGCCGTTATACCCATAAACAACTACAGTGTAAAATTTAAGTTTTAGTAGCTCTTGAAATTCAGTGCTATTAAGATAGATAGAGATTATACTTGAGTAGCTGCATTTTCATGGATCTTTTAACTGATGCCTTTATGAGGAAAGTGTAGGGGACTTATGTTAGAGTTCACTAGTATTACAAAATATGAGAAATAAAATTCAAGTCAATGGGATGTTAAGTAACAGTATATTACCAAAAATGCAACGACACGTTATATCAACAAAAGGGTTACTCGGAAATAAAGTTGAAGTCCTTTGCTACAAATTATTTATATAACCCACGGAGACGTTAGTTGTTTTGACGGAGTAGATTGTAGCTGCTGTGTCCCGGTTGTATAATTGTCTTCGGTTGAGCGTAGTGGACTCCTACAATAAATCCGAAAGATACAACACGGTGAGAGCTGAGGTAGTAAGCCAAAGAAACCAAGGAGAAGACGAAGTCTCCAACAAAAGTAAGCCATATTCAGAATTTTTCTCGTCTGTGTTTTTGAAATCGTTGTGATCATTAACTTAAACGTCTTAAGTGGGAGAATGGTTCTACTCGACTTGATGTCAAAGTGAGATCAGCAGTGATAATGGTAGGTTAATAACAGTTGGTAGATGTTTGTTCATGTTTCACAGAAAATCCGAAAATCTGTATCTTGGTGTGCACTTGAAATTAATTTTTCGTAGCACATGGATGTGATGTTATGTAGGCAAGGATGCTTATAAGGTTTACTTTCCACATATTTAAAGCACTAAGTCCTTAACACTGACTATGTTTTATTGAAATTGTCGGCTCTATTCACGAATTTCCCACCGAATTGATGATTGTCATGTATGAAAGTATAATGAAGGTATAAAATCTGTGACTGTGGCACAGTATTTCTATGTAGCTTAGTAAGTCCTTTAATCATATGACAAGCCTCTTGTGTTCGTACCGTATCGCTAGTCAGTTTGTCGTCAAAAGCAATAAGTCCGTCGATTCAGGGAGTCATTATTCGCCATAAAGTGAATTCTGTTCTCTAAAGTATAGAAAACTCTCCTGAGCAGTTTATCAATATTCCAACTAATTTCCGCATCATTATGAATAACTGAGCCAGTAGTTTTTTTTATCAATTTTTTTCTATATTTGTCTGGAATGTCGCTTGGTGTAGGCATCAGTGAATTTCTGTTTGTCTGTTGCAAACATCAGCCATTTGTACTTTTGTAACGTTGAGTGCTATCAGTGTTCATTATCCACATTTATAGAAACAAACATGCTATCTGGTTTTTTATTTATTTTTACGTAATCTAACCGCTCATTTGTGAGATGTTTGCTGTGTGTTTTTAATTATGATTTTGCATAAGTTTGTGCCTTAGTTCTCAGCTTCGTTGTTCCAAAAAATTGATTAGTGTTTCTGCTCACTTTCGCTCACCATCTTCTGAATTTTGAAATTTACGCTTGTAAACTTGCTTTATTTGTTTCAGACAAATACCCTGCTTCTTTTTAGATAAAGTTTTTATTTTTGTGGTAAGATCAGTTGTATGAACTCTGTTTTTTACCACCTAATACATTACTGCTATAATTTTAATTTAGGGTATATTAGATGTCAATTTTGAAGGTTTTTATTGACTGAAATTGAACTCTTCCTAAGCTCTGTTAATTCCTGACTTAAAGATACCGCATTATACATTCTAGCGGAAAAGCATGAGGACTTTTACGGTTTTTGATGATATTATTTTCCCTTCCCTCCCTCCCCTTGGTGTGCTTATGTATTATGAATGTAGTTAAACATGTATGTAGTGCTTGCTTGCGCAAATCACTTAAACATTTTTGCGTGTTTGAGTAGCTATGTTAAACTCTGCATTAGCAATAACTGATTGTATCTGATTCTACAATATTCCCTTTTGGCAGTTAATTACTTATCTGTTGAAGTAACATCGGAGAAATTCATACACGCTTAATTGGAAACAGCATGATCATGCCTGGGAAAAACTGGGGGAATAATCTGTAGTTCATTCAGTCTTCACGTTTCTTCTACCACAATAACTGTGAGAAGTCATGTAAATGTTGCAAGTGCATATTTGAGTATCTTTTCAGTGTTACGTGTATGAAATGAAGTGTTGCTGAAAAAGCACAGGCATTTGCATGTACTTATCTATGAGTCAGTGGTTGTTCGATATCGTATTGTACTTGCCGCTTACTCGGTCGCTTGTTGGTAAAGTGGCGATTAAATACCTAAACCAATAAGCCACTACTCCATCTTCTCACTCATGGACATTGCTACCATTAACCGAACAGCACTGTCTAGTGTGTGACCAATCTCATACGTTCGGCTCTTGACTGTGTTAAAAATGCCAATCACTAATCTTTCAGTGCACAATGTTAGCTGAAATAGTATTAAGTGAGAATAATCTTTGCAGTGTCAATATAGGGAAATGGTACCAATTCTTGTAGTCACCGTAGGCTTATTTCTGCGATGTAAGGCAGTGCAGGGGTCGGGTATATTTGATGATATAGACTCACATTATTCGTTGTATCTTCTTAGAAATCCTGACCATCGTTTTACATTTTTTTGTTCATTCTTTTTATTTTTGTTGGTTTTAATATCTCTCAGTTTTTGTTAATTTCGTGCTTGCACCATTGGGAAGTGTGCTAATGTAACTGATACATTTTTCCCATTCCTGTTCTCTTACCTTTCTTTGTCTTTTTTGATGAGATTATATGCATGTTATCCTTTATCTAGGTAAAACGACTGATACTAAATTGTGGTAACATTTAAAATAAAACCATGTGTTACAAAGATTAAAATACATCGTAGAGATAGGCTGTTGGCTCAGTGGATCACTTTATCTTTTCCCATCAGTCATGGCTTTCTAGTGGATAGGTAGTACCGTTAATTCTCTCATACCAGTTATGGCTTTTCGCTTAGTGTGCAGACATTAGTACGGTCGATGGGTTAGACTGCTTATCATATTATCGAAAAAGTAGTGTAATCAGCAAATCTTGCATAAAGTGAAGTACCATGTACTTTGAATCACTTATAACCATCGCCTGTTGGCTGCCAGTTTCACATTTTATCAAGTAAAGATATTCAGGGATTCTTTCTGTTGGAAAACTGAATAGGTTATCTCCAAACATTCTGATGGTATTTCCTTTGTGTACTATTGTTTTTGTTGATCCAGTGTCTTCTTTCTCTCTGTAAAAGTTTTGTTCACATTTGTGATTGATCTATGTAAGATTTTCTATATTTTGTAAATAATAAATAAAACTGAAGATGTAATCCGAATTGGAGGAAATTAACAAATATAGTATTTTTCGATCTTAACTGTGTGTTCGTTGAATGGTAGTCCTTCAGTTGGAGAGACACTACACAGGTTTATGTCGTAGGTTGTGTAGTTTCCATCGATTTGATTAGAATTATCTACGTTGAGTTGTTTTTTTAGAATTCCATTTTTGGTCTGTTAGCTTTTAAAATTTCTCTTAGACTGATTTCTTATAATGACGTAACTGCATCTCAATTTACCATACAGCCTGCAAACTTCTACTTCGCTCCCCTTTTCCTGTTTGGTACAAATCCTAGAACACAGTCATCTCCCTTTGGCTTTTGTCTTCTGTGAAATTGGAGAATCAGAATTGTTGCTTACCTCATTTTAAATCTTTGTCATGCTTCGCACTCTGTATGCTCGCATTCCATATCCGTGATCTAACTGTTAACGATTCACGTGTTATGCACTGGTGGTAATGGATTATTCATGCGGCCTCGGTCCTCACTTGAGTGGGTCTCTCAAGCGAAGTAACAATGTTCGACGCTCTATTTCATCTTCAAAATATATTGGGGGCATTGATTGGCGTAAGTTTTTCAAGTTCTTACTTCATTGTACATATTAGATTTCTATTTATCTTTCATCATTTTATATGCATGCACATTTTAAGTTTTCAAAAGATATGCACCTGTGTGACTTTTTTTTCTTGAAAAGCTGACTATTGAGTTTGTATGACGTTATACATCATTGAGTTTGATTATTTCTTCGGCTTTATCACAATTATTTTATTAAATGATTTCATTTAAAAGTTTTTTTATGTTGTATGGGTAGTGGTGGAAGTTGGCGTTGTTTGCAAAACACTTTAGCCTTTCTGTTGAAGTTACAGGTTGACATTGACAAGGAAGTACTTTGGTATTATTTAAGATTTACTATGACTGGAAATCGTGTATTGGTATGATGACGATTAGAAAAAAGATTTAAATATGTTGTTATTTTGTAATTAAGTGATAAGTAAATTTGTTAAAGTACACTTGACTTTCATCACTTTATGTATCAATACTTCGAGTTAAATATGTAAATATTTTGCAGTGTATAAAGTGGTAGATTGTTTTGATACAAGTGTTGCCGGATGGTAGTTAGACGTAAGCCACCTATCCCTGTTATATTGGCAGCACCTTAATTGACCACTGCATATGGTTGTATTTGCGTCACACAGTAAGATGTTGAATGACACTTTTAGAAGACGTGGTTTTCTCATCAACTGAGTGTTACATATTGTAAAGTCAAATTCTGTATGAAAACCATTTGGTTTTTAATGGCTACATAGAGATTATCAAACTAATATTTCTTAGTTTGTTAATTAGGTAACTGCCTTCTGGGAAGTATTTGAATACTTTGAAGGGCAGCCAGTATGCGTAGCAACAGAAAAACGAAAATATTATTACGAAAAACATCGATAGGATAGTATCAGTTAGTCATAAATCTCAGTTTAGTGTATTAAAACAAATAATAAAGGTTGTCTTTCTCACTTGTATCACGTGGACAGTGTAATTTAGCACGGTTACAGTACGTACTAATTTAGTACCAATTGTAACTGTGACAAAGGGGACAAGCACGTGAGATTTACAAGTAGTCAGTGTATGTATGCTTTTCTAGCTTCTTCCTGTATAAATGTGATATTTCCTCTTTTACCTTCCTTTAATGTGAGTTTCGTACTTTATCAGAATATCGACATGTTGCATTTATTTATTGTTTTAGAAGTGTTTTTTCCGAACATTGGAAAATCTTTATCTGAGAGCTGTGTAGTTGAATCGGTTAATTATATTGTAATTCATAGCAGTTTCACTATTGCTATTCTCGTACTTTTGGTAGTATTATGTGAATTGATGAAAATGAAGTTTTACTCAACAGTCACTTGTGATTCTATGCACTTTAGGATAAACCACACCCATTGTGTGAGGGTTAGTGATACTACCTGGCTGCCTGAACCTCTGTGCGGGTTTAGAATCCGTGCCAAAACCCAAGAGCAATAACTCTACTGATAGTCGTATATTCTGTATTTCTTTATTTTGTGGTTATTCATGTCTGGTCGAATTGACGATGAAAGGAGTAAATTAGTGTTATTGTCGAAAGTAACCAACTAGGATTTACTCTTATTTCCTTCACGTTCCCCAGAGGAACATAGGGCTTCAAGCTAGTGGCTTGAAGTCTCCGTAGCAGTGTTTATTTTGCAGGATGGGGTTGCTAGCCTCATGTCCATCCTTTCCTATTCACCAGCATTATATTTCTTCCTTAGTAATGCAAAGGAGTGAGTCGGCCTGGTATCGAACCCCGGACCATGTGCATGGTCGGTGAGCGTCCTAACCGCTTTATTACTATTCCTTTGTCTCACACCTCTGTTTACTGTCTATATTATGCATTTCTTCTACTTTCTTCTCTTGCTTTGCGTGCTGCATAGATTGTGGCGACTTGGACTGCCGCACATATGTGCAAAGTTCTATGTCGAAAACCGACCGACCGACCGACCGACCGTCCTAACCGCTATGCCACCGACACATAGGATTTCCTTGCGGAAACTAAAATCCCACATGAAAACTACTTATATTTAAGCCAAAAAGAACTAGGCATCACAAATCCTAATCCAAACTGTTAAGACAAGTAAAGGAACGGGGTGTGATTTGAAAACTATGCTTTACTGTAGACTGAAATTAAGTTGAAGTGTTGTCGAGTCATTTCACTTTAGTGTATTATAAAGAAAAGAAATATTTGTTTACAATAACCGCTGTTAAATCACATAATTTTTTGGAATTCTGAGGTCCATAGTTAATTGAGAACAGTTAGAACCACAAGCAAAGTAAACAAAGTTATAGTAAACATTTTACAGATTAGAATTTAGTCAAATAATGGTTGGCCTCTTTGCTGAAATGAATTCGATGTGGTTAAATTGAGTAATATACAGTCATAAGATGAGGTTGTTGGTTGTATGCACTCAATTTGCCTTTTCTCAAAATCTAAATTGAATGTTGATCAAGGTGACTAAGATATCGTAAACTCATATCTTACCACATTATGTGGTATTGCTCTTAGTTTTTAACAAAATGAGCAAATAAAATCGAAATAAAGACGTGCATTACACCTAGAATAAGAAGCAATTCTAGATAACTGGTAATTTATTTTACAAACGATTCTTCTACTATAACGTCAGTGAAATCAGATGAGTATCAAGTCTGATGAAGGCTTTGCCGATCATCTGTCTGCCTTTCATCTACATCTGGCATGTAAAACATTTCCTTGTCATAGATTAACGAAAAATATCGATGCTGGATTTGGTAGATGTGACAGCCATATGTCATTGCAGAAAGCGTATATTAAGTATGTCTTCTCGAAAGTTCCATCCACACACTGTTTAGATTCTCCATTTTTATGTATGCCGTATCTTACAACAGCTAAACAAATATCAAGCCTATAGTGATTTCTTTTGATAAATGTTAGTTGTGTTAGGTTTATATAAGTCATAGTGCTTGTATAAAGTTGGTCTATAATATTCATGCTGAAAATTCCATACTTGTACTGAAAATACGGTGTGTAATCAAGCTGTAAATCAAAATCAAAATCAAATAAAAAAAAAAATATTCCTTGCCGTTGTAAAAATTAATGTTCTTCAATGGTTTTATCCGATAAAACACTATCATTCATGAGTAAAAAACAGTCAAATATCAAATAGACAATTGTTACAATTATGTTTGTAGTCACAGTGATCATTCAGCGCTGAAAATATTTTTGAAAGCTTGAACATTCCTTCAGTTGAATGTCTTCCAATAGTTTACTAGTAGAACTTGAATGTTATACTTTCCACTTGTGATCGCGAACTGATTTCAGTTAGGGAACCATTGAAAACCAAGAAGTACTGGACAACTGTTTCGTCCTTTCTTGGAACTGTACGCACGCATGACCCCGACAAAGGTCGAACCAATGGCCTATCAACTTTAACTCCTGTCAGTTCACCACTTTTGCTAGTTGATGCCCCTAAAATTTAAGAAACATTTTGTTTAGGATGTTTTCTATTGAGGCATTTCGGCTTATAATATTTACCTTTCAAATGTTCTTTATGATTCAGAAGTCCTGTTAGTTGTTATCATAGGGATAAGACTTAATATCATATATTTCTTTTATTCAAACGATCTACAGAAATTAAATTACTTTGACTGAGAGGATGTAAATCTTTTTGTTTTAAGTAATTACACAATATAACGGTGAAAACTGAATTAAGCATACATATATCTATACATATTGCCCTTTTCATACTTTGTTAGTATAAATGACAACTCTTTGAGAATTGGGTTACGAATAGAGCACACAGGAATCCTGTGGTACGTGATGCTGTATGAAATGCTGTGACTAAAATGCACTGACTTAGATATATAGTTATTATTGTGTCTTTTATGTCTTAATAACGCTGATTTAAATTCGCCTAAACAATTTTCAACGTACTTTCGTGATAATCACTGTGGTGTTAGCCTACGAGTGCTGGACTGCAACTCGTATAATGCATGAGCTCTTCATTATTGTTTAGCTGAGGCCTGTCTTTACATTGTTTTATGTATGATTCGAATAACAGTAGGAGACACTGCACTCCAACTTTATCATATGGACTTATAATTTTTACCTTTCTATGAAAATGTCTGCAATGGTAATGGCATATTCCTGGATAGTTCCGTAAGGGTTATTTTTATTAACATTACTGTGTTTGTTTTATATATTGTTTAGGAGGGTTACGGTGTAGTATGGTGTGTAGTTTTGTTTCTTATTTTACTGGTTATGGGATTATTTGAACACAGTATATGCTTCTTAGTAAACGTTTTCTTTATACTTTTTTCTGTTTACTTTCAGATTTACGTAATCAATTTACAGAGCAACTAAAATGTTTGGATCTTAAATTAGATATTGATTGTACTGTAGTTGCTGAACTACAGGATTTTTATCGTCGTCGTGCCAGTGTTGAACAGGATTATGCTGATGCTCTAGCCAAGCTTGCCAATGGATTAAAACAACGTCATGTGAATGAAACATCAAAGTAAGTTGTGTATATGAATATATTTTAACTTTTTCTAACTTTGGTGCTTTTTTCAATTCTGTGCGCCTTTTGAAACCCTACTTTTGTATCTTTTGACGTATACAGTGTTAGGACAGACAAGCTTTTTGTTTAGTCATGAGGTCATGATTTACGCATGTGCTGACATGAAAACCTCATCGGATAGTTCTAGTTCGTTTATATATGGCTTAAATTTCTGAGGTTGTTAAAAAATAATATTCCACGCATTTGTTGTTGCTATTGTTCCGGTCATCGTTTCCCCCATTCTTATCTATCTCAGTTTGGGGGATAAATTCTAGTGGCCAGTTGGTTATAGCATTGTGTTCTGAAGACGCATTTTGATCAAGGTAGACGTATGCAGTATCACTCCATCATAACATAAAGGAAATGATAATTTAAATAAATAAGTGCATACATGTTATATTTATTATGCCGGATTTTTAGATATGGCATTACTTCACATTACTCACTTGGTGGAGGACAATCCTAGCTTATATCAAATTAAGTGTCAATTTATTGAACTGACAAATTGTCAGCTAACGTTTTGCCTTAACCTTAAATTTTTTGAATGAACTTTGTAACCTTTAACTCGAAGTTATTGTAATGGACATGATGCAACTTTTGAAGTCAAGTGATTTGATAAAATTCATTTCATCTTTTTATTAAAAGTCACTGACAGATAGATTGAAAGATCTTATCAACATAAGGATGTACGTCGTGTACCCCGACCGAAAGCTGCTACCTTGACGTGGTGGTCGGGCTTGAACACCGCAATGACCCAACAAGCTATACTGGCTGGAACTTATGTTCCTGCAGGTCCTACCATGCCAGGAAGGTTGTTCGGATAGCGGTTAGACTAAAAGCAGTTACCCAACCCAATCCAATGACTTCAAACAAATCACAAAATATCATGCCGGATCGGTCGGGGCCCGGATTAACAACGACCGCGCTTTCTGCTGCCGTGTCACAGGGCAGAAGTGATAAATACGCTACTGAGACACACCAAATAAAAAACAACAAACAAAAACAGGCCGTGTGTGACCGGCCTCAAGCAGTTGTCCCCTGGGCTCTGCGGTCACGCAACCAACTTCCACGGTGTGGGCAGCCGGGAAGCAACAATCGCCCTCACAACCCGAAGAGCACACGAAACCTCTCTAGACAGTACGTCGTGGTGGTGTTGATCTGCTTCTTGGAGAAGGGATTTTTGACCTCAAACATGCAGATGATATAGTCTTACTGTGCAATAGCATGCAGGCTTCTCGTGTCACATTTAATTTGTTGGTGATTAGTGTCTGTAAGTATGGCATGTGCTTTGAGCCGTCTAAGTGTAAAGTATTGTTGTAAGATTGGCAGAAACCTGTACCTACACTCACCCTTGCGAGTGAACCGCTTGAAGTTGTCGACAAGTTCGTGTATCTAGGTAGTTGTGTGAGTGATGGTAGAGGTGTGACGGGTGAAATCGGTAGTCGAATAGGGTGGCATATGCCAATTTAGATCACCCCTGGCATCGTTGCGACATCAACCTGGCTATCAAAAGTCAAGTTTACACTGCTTCCTTGCGTGTAGTCTTACTCTCTGCCTATGGGACTTGTTCTCTCTGAGCTGGGAATGTACTGCGATTCTGCGTATTCGATCATCGCTGTCTCTGAGAAATTGCTTTCGTCCGATAGCATCAGCGTGTGAGTAATTCTGATGTCTAACAGCGTGTGTGTTTGGACACGGTGTAAGCCGCCATTCATTGAGTGTCGTCATCGGCAAGTACCTACTTTGGTGGCTTGAATACGTGCTACGAATGTCATTCCAGAGACTTCCGTACTGGTCGCTGTTCACTATCTCTGCGACCGGATGGAAAAAGAGGACAGGTGGCCAGCTTATGACGTGGCGCTGTGAGATGAAGGATATGTGTTGTGCCTTTAGGGTAGCATTGGTTGCTACATAGTGGCTTCGTGTTTAGAGTCCGAGAGATAGTTCGAGTTGGTGGTTCGAAATGAAAACAGATACCATCATGAATCTCAATGAATGACGAAAATGCTGCAATTTCGTGCTTCCTCCCTTTTCTGAAAGTATCAAGAAGTGATGAGTGTTTTATGGTCTTGAAAAATACGCTTGCTTGCTTTCGGGATGACGTCCCGCACTCATTCTCTCTCTATTTTCTTTATCCATTGTTGTTTTTACTATTGTCATGTGGCGCATCTCCTTGTACTCATAATGTACCAAGTTTGTGTTTCCAATAAAATTAAAAAATGTTATATCAACATGAAGCATAGCATTATCAGTTAATACTCTAAATTACCACACCTTGTGTGTTTGTGTACACAAGTGTAGGTGTGTTTTAAAGTCAATTTTCACCATAGGATTCTCTTCATGAACTTATAAAGGTGAACTTTAGATAAAACAAAACTGTGATAGATTCAAAGAATTTCCTGATGTTGGTATTCATTAGGGCGCCTCTGGACAATTCTAATTATGGTTTTCTTTTCTATGGAACTCCACGTTGTATGGGTATTTCCGTTAGACAACATAATTAGTAATTGTTTAATTCCGTTTGGACTTTCCCATCGATTGATTGAACCGAAGTGTTCGGCCTCTGTTAACATATCGGCTCCTTGTTTGCGGACGCTTGGACAATGTCTGAGGATTTAACTTGCAGTAATTTGATGGTTGGCGATCAGGCAGTGGAATCTAGGATACACATTTTGTCCTATGTAGGACTCGTCATCTGAATGTATCTGCATTCCCCAGTCTGTAACTGGATGGTATTCCCACTGAGGCTCGAACTCAATACCCATAGTTTCAAACGCCAAAGGCTAACGCTTTGGCATCGTTTTGTCTGGTATTTTCATCAGAAAATGCAAATAATAAACAGATGTATCTTATTCTCCTTCCTTGTCTTCATCATCAGATCAGTGAATAAGTGTAAAGTGGTTCTTTTTTATCAAAATCCAGTATATAATTTTGGTTGTAGTTCTCATCAATTCTTTAAATATTCCCATTTATAATATTAGAACAAGACATATAAGCGAACAATATTGTTTTCAGTTAGATCTTCTTCAGGCTTTACTCTAATTTACATAGATTTATATATAAAAATTCTTAACCAATGACGGTGATTTTGTGGATCAAATAATAATAGTAGTAATAATAATAATGTGGTAAATGTTTTGAACGTAGTTAATAACGATGATTATAATGATAACAAAATATTGATAATAAGGTTTATGCAGGTGGCGATAAGAATAACAAAGGTAGTAATATGTGTGTGTATGTAGACAATTCAATAAATAAATTTGGTCAAATCTTAAAAGTTACGTAATACATAAGGGTGAAGTGGACAGATAATCAGACTTTAAATAAATAACATAAAAATACGAAGGAGATGGAAAATAAGAAAGGGTGGGAGGGTTTTGAATAGAATTCATCTAGGCCAAGGGAGAGACAAAGGTAGAACAAACTTCTTTTGTATGCAAAGACTAGGATTGTTCTCTCGAATTCCCATAGCTTCGGCTATGTGTAAAAGACGGATTCGAATTCCGTTCGAAAGGCTCGATGGAATGCGATAGATAACTTTGAAGGCACTATTTTTGTCCACTTGGTGACCACTATCAATCAAATGAGCCAAAATAGAGCTTCTTATAGATTTTATTCGACCTTTTCCAAACCATGAAGGAAGATGCTCATTAATGCGTTTGTTAAGCTGTCTAGTTGTTCGCCCTATATAGCTCTCTCCACAGGAGCAACTAAATTTATAGATACACATCGAAGTGGCACGGTTAGGTAGCTTGTCTTTCACTTGAGCAATCATAATTGGTCGGCTGGAAAATGACAAGCAAAGGGTGGCGGCAGTATAACTCTGTTTTATCGCTCTTGATAATCTCAGATGTAAGACTTCGCTAGCCACGTCCCTATTAAATTGCAATTTCATGAACAGTTGTTTCTTTTCAACTGTTGTCAGTTTCTCTTGATTTTACTTCGTGTTCATATGTCTCCTTACAAATCTACTAGGATAACTCATTTGGACCAGCGTATTTTGGATGTATCCTAAATCATTTTGTAGGGAGTTATCTGTACAGGCTGGTCCTTCTTATTTTTATGTTATTTATTTAAAGTCTGATTATCTGTCCACTTCACCCTTAGTATTACGTAACTTTTAAGATTTGACCAAATTTATTTATTGAATTGTCTACATACACACACATATTACTACCTTTGTTATTCTTATCGCCACCTGCATAAACCTTATTATCAATATTTTGTTATCATTATAATAATCATCGTTATTAACTACGTTCAAAACATTTACCACATTTTTATTATTACTACTATTATTATTTGATCCACAAAATCAACGTCATTGGTTAAGAATTTTTATATATAAATCTATGTAAATTAGAGTAAAGCCTGAAGAAGATCTAATTGAAAACAATATTGTTCGCTTATATGTCTTGTTTTTATCAATCTAAGTATAGTTAAACTTTTATCGATTTTCTAGTTCATATGTACATATTTGAAGAAAACGAAAAGAGATACTAAATTCACAGGCAGTCTCATTTGAAATTATTGTCAATTATCTGCTATTGCTGCTGCTGTTTTACAATTGCTTAGTCCTATAAACTGATTACAGTAATCACTATCATTCATTCACTTAGTCACCAACATTAACCAACCCCACTGGTGTTCCCTCTTCAAATGTTTATAACCACCCCCCCCACCTTGTTTTGTATTTTCTCTCACTTATTCTGTAGTTATTGTCATTCTAACTATAAGAAGTTATGCTAAAATCAAATCTGATGTTAGCTAATTAAACTAGTGATTATTATTTCAAGCTGTGATATGACGTAATAATGATGGTGATGATGACATTAATAGTAATAGGTTTATTCTAAAAAAGGATGCTTTCATACGCAATACAGAATTTTCAGCAAGTTTATTATTGCGAGGTATTTACTCCTCATGCAGAATCGTCGAATAATAATAATAATAATAATAATAATAATAATAATAATGTAATAGCTTTATTCTGAACACTTTATAAAATGTACAGAATTTTCAGCGAAGTTTTATTGCACGATAATTTCCCTTCGTTCAGGATCTTCAAATATGTGAATGATTAATTGACAGTAGATCGTGTTGTGACGTAGTTCTATCTGACCTGGAGAGCAAACCAATCTATTACGTATATCTCTTCTTTTTCTCCTTCGATAAATACGCGACATTTTTGGTTGAATGCCATTTATTTAAAAAAAGTTCAGGAGTACATTTTGTGAACTAAGGACACCACTCAGGAACAGTCATCTCATGTATTGGGATAAGGAGCCATCGAAGTTATTGCTTTTTCGCATATTTAGTACAGACTTGCGAATCGACAGGTTGTGGATGTTTTAAATACTCATCAGAGTAAACAATATCATTAGGGGTAATATTTTACAATATTTAAACAAAGTGAATAAGAGGAATTATATGCAATATATTAATGGAGGCTTTTTCGGTAGCCCAGGTTTTAAGCAGGCCGCCCAACCTCTATAATAAACTATAATACATCAATTGAGGCGGTATTTTTTTTTTATTCAAGGCATGCTTCAATTATCAACGGTGTTTCTCCTCCATTTCCGTCAGGCATTTCGGGGCAATAGATCGAAAACTATTTGAAAATGTACTTGAGTAAACATTGTGATTCTTACTCATTATTGTATGATTATAGAACAATATGAAATATGGAATAAACATGAGGCATTTTGAGTGCGTAGGGAATTTAGTTAACTCAGTAATTTAGGCAAGCTATAATATATGTAAATGTCTCCTCTAATATTCAAAATATGATATTTAGCATATATTCGTTTTATAATAATCATAATTGAGCAATGACATGAACACCCAAAAATACCCCAGTTTGAATGAGCATCATTTGGGGACACAAGTAGAATCGAAACCTTCCTGATTCAATTGGCCGCGCACATAGCAGCCTAAAATCATGTAAATACAATTTCATATATTCAACTTGTGAGATATGTTTCACTGGCTTGAACACTCATTTTTGTGGCCAGTGGGTCCTGGGTTCGAGCCCCACTCCACCTACTACAACCTGAGCAACTCGTTAGTATCATTAGCTTTCACACAATAAATGCGGCTCATAATCCGGTAATGAGCAACTGAGTAATAAAGAAAAGAAAAACTTTGGAGCCTGAAGCCTAAATACGACTATGTGAAGTAACTTTTCCTATCACCCCAGACTAGTAAGAAAACTGAAGTCGTTCAAATAAATACCTCATAAAAATAGCTCCAATTCATTATGAACTGTCAAATATCTAAATAATACATAAGTTATATCAGTACGTGAACATGACAACTCTGTGATAACTGCACTCGTTAGGGTATATCATAAACCAAATTGTCATAATAGGTGGTGTCAACTATATATTTTTATGTTCTTTGAAAGTGTGTGAATCAGTAGTTTTCAGGAATTAATTTGTAGGGATTCTGTTTGTTTCAGGTTAGACCACGGATAGATATCAGTTAGAGAACCATTGAAAACCAGTATTGGAATACTGGATAGCTGTTTCATCCTAGTTTTGGGACTCATCAGCAGTGCGCATCCACAGCCAGGGTTCGAACCCAGAACCTTCCGGTTACAAAGTAAGCTCGTGTGCGAATCAGCCACTGAGACCCGATTCAATGACCAGTGCTTGAATTCTAACTTCTACCAGTTCGTGATTTTAGGACGACCACCAACCAATGTCATTGGTGGGACTTCATCCTCACTCCCGAATGGATGGACCCCACTGGTCACGACTTCTCACTAGAACTCCAGGCAACTTCGTCCGATAGCCAGTCACTAGCGAGCATCAGATTTATTTTCAAGAATTGGTTTGCATGGATTCTATTTTTTTCACGTTAAACCACGGATTGATAGCAGTTAGAGAACCATTGGAAACCAGGGAGTAGGTGCGTACTGCCGATGAGTCCCAAAACTAGGATGAAACAGCTGTCCAGTACTCCAGTGCTGGTTTTCAATGGTTCTCTAACTGATATCAATCCTTGGTTTAACCTGAAATCAGTAGTTGCATTAAAATTCCGCAACAACAGAAAAATCTCTCAAAGTGATATTATATAAGATAAGGCCAAGTCGTTCGAAGAATTTCTGGCTACATCTTTTCTCCATAGCAGTTCTTACTACATAAAAGGGGAACCCTGAACTGTGTATACAAAAGTCAGTTTATCCAATCCCTTTTACTACCTTGTCCTTAAACTTTCCTTTCTTTAACTCGTCCAATCGCTTGGTATGCAATCATATTCATTCCAGTTTCTGTTTCTGTGTCTTACTTTTGCCATTCAAACTGCTAACTTTAAAATTTACTTTGAAAATATTCTGAATCACTAACTCTTTTGTAAAATGTCATTGTTTCCGAACGCTTTTAGTTTTTTTTTAAAATGATAATCACTTATGATTGGTGCAGGTCATTTATTGTTTTTAGATTATGTAGTTTATTATTTTTTGCTTGATGCGTAAATTCATATGTTTTGTTGTTACCAACCGTTATGAACAATTGACCTTATTGGCAATTTTTGCTGACCTTTTTGAACATTATATAAAACTGTACAGTTTTGAAGTGAAGTCATAAAAAGAATATTCTTTGATAACTTATGTCTTTTTAATTGCACTTAAGTTGTTATAGATGTTAAGAATTGTATTGTTTTAGTTTTCAATATATGTTTGTTATTATTATTATGATTACTGTTATGATTTTAGACGTCCACATTGGGCTCCGTATACAACAACCACTATATGGAATACACTACTCGGTTCCACATTACACTTATCTGAAGCACATGCAACCTTATCTGATATTTTCTCGAAACAAATGGTTCAGCGTTTAGCAGATATGGATGAAGATGCTGTTCGTTTGCATAAACAGGTAAATGTAATATCTACTCTTCTTCTAATCGTTAAATTATCTATTTCTCTCTCTCTCTCTCTCTCCTTTCTTTTCTCTATCCATTCTCCTTTACTGATTATTATTCAAATTGATTTCTTATTCAATTGGTGGATGGTGACTAGCAGTGGAATCCAGGATGCTGCTTTCGTCCTTTTGGGGACTAGAGAGGTTTCGCGTGCATTTCGGATTGTGAGGGCGATCGTCACTTCCCGGCTGCCCACACCGTGGAAGTTGGTTGCGTGACCGCAGAGTCCAGGGGACAACTGCTTGAGACCGGTCACACGCGGCGTGTTTTTGTTTGTTTTCCATTTGGTGTGTCTCAGTAGCATATTTATCACTTCTGCCCTGTGACACGGCAGCAGGAAGCGCTGTCGTCGTTAATCCGGGCCCCGACCGATCCGGCATGATATTTTGTGATTTACTTTGAGTCATAGCCTTGGGTTGGGTAACTGCTTTTTGTCTAACCGCTATCCAAACAACCTTTCTGGCATGGTAGGACCTCAAGCGACATAAGTCTCAGCCAGTATAGCTTGTTGAGTCATTGCGGTGTTCAAGCCCGTCCACCACGTCAAAGTAGCAGCTTTCGGTCGGGCTTTTGGGACCCTCCCCACTGGGCTCGAACCCATTATCCATAGTTTCAAATGCCAAAGCCTTATACACCGACTCCAGGTTACATGATCAGACATCGTCGAAGCATCTGAACAGGAAGCCGACATGTCAACTTTAGACTGAGCACTTCAATCCAATCAATCGATGGGAAAATCTAAATTGAACTGAATGATTTCTCATTCTGTTGAATCATGCTTACTGTTTTAAGCTGTTGTATACCATACTATCACATCCAATACACGCAATTAGTTGTAATAGACTTAAGTTCATACCAGACCCTACTGCCTAAACAACCTGTAGTAATAATAATCTTAAAACACACATTGTTATCATAGCTAGTTAAATAACGCATTTACTTTCATGTGTTTTCAGCATTCAATAAGTCTCACTAGCTTCCAAAAATGTCTTAAATATGTTTTTGTCGTAGGAAATATGAAGTTATCACTGGAAAGTATAGTAATTCACACTTTGTATTGATAAAATGAAATGTCCATATGAAGCGTCTGCATGCTAATACATTTTTGGAAATATTAATAGGATCAAGGTGAAATAATGAGATATATTATGTTATTGTCATCATAATTCTGATCTGTGTGCTTAGCAATACTCAATTTTAGTGTTCTGCTTGTAATATATTAGAGTCATAGTTATTTCCTTTACCGTGGGTATGTAGTACTCTTTCCACGTTACTGTTCTGACGTGTTTACTATTCACTTCCTCTGTTTATTATTATTATCATTATTCAGTGTTGTTTGAGTCTTGGTATTATGATAATCAGCATAAAGTGAAACTGGAATAAAGGCCAAGCTACTACCATTACGTAGAGAAAAAAAGGATCAATTGATTACATCATGTCATGTTCGTATTGATGTAAGACAAGGCATTGCTCTGCTGTCATGTGTTATGTATCAGCTGGCGTGAGACTGTTAGCTTTCTTGGTCATATGCTCTTCTCATAGTTTCCCCATATGATGTTTCGTTAACACTGTATGACATTTGCTTACTGTTTCCTATCTATATTTTCCTTACACGATATTAGATATAAGTTACCGTATATTGTTCGTTTATTAGAGCTTTTTGTTAATCAATAATTTGAATCTCCAAGCAGCTACCAATTAATCACACTTATTGTATGAGGACTACTGTAGGTAGAATGGGTTTGGAACCCATGTCTCAGTGGTTGGAATTCTAACGCTTAGACCAGTGAGCCACAGCTCCAATTTATTGCAGCTTAATTTGTATTATTCTATTAAAATCAACTTAATACAACTTTAAGTTTATCTGGGTGTGATGTGTTCTTGATAGGAGGAACTATCAATTCTGATGTGTTCTTGTTTTGATTATTTTGAAAGCTGTATAGTGTGTGTAGCTTTTCTCTTCATCATGAGTACTGTAAACCTCATAGGAATTACTGTAACCACAATGATGTAGTCTGATTATTTGTTTTCTCGAGAACAATAGTTTGTGCACAATAGGATGGTTTAGCATCATTTATTTCGTCGGCTTCTCTCATCAGTTGCGTGCAGACTAAAGAACACTTTCAACATATCTGCGATTGTGACGTGGTATCAGTTGACTGAAGATTCCAAACTTAATAAACAATGTGCAGGAATTGCACTTATATTGGCTTATACACAGAAGATTCGAGTTTAAACAAAAACAAACTCTTGTATCCGCTGGCAACGGAGTCACGCAATAAAGCCAAGAGGTGAATAAGATGATGAGAAGCTAATAAATTGAGTAACAATATGGTGTTACACTATATAAAAGGGGAGGAGAGGTTACAGGCAGAGATTACATAATCAGGTGAAAGAGAGTAAAGGCACCTAGTTACCAGAACAATTAAAGGCTGATAACTGCTTCTTTCAGAACGCATAAATCGAGTTGTAGGCGTTTGATAGCGATTACTTCAGTAAACTTGAGGTGGATTTAATTATTTTGTCCATTGATAATTTTGAAGGATTTCGTGATATCCACTTGATGACCCGTATTGATGAAATGCCTGCAATGGCACTGTTTAGAGCATTTGTTTCCTTTAGACATAGGCTTTTTGGCATATGTTCAGAAAATCGAAGGTGTACTCTTTTTTCTGATCTCCCAATGTAAATGCTACCGCTGATACACGTAAATTTGTATATACAGTTAGAAACCTTCTGTGCATAAGATATGCATAAGTATAATTCCTGAGGACATTTTATTAAGTTTGGAGTCTTTTGTCAACTGACATCATGTAACAGTTGCAAGTATATTTAAATTATTGTATACATAAACCTAGTAATTTCTTCAGGCTGTACTCAGCTGATGAGAGGAGCCAACGAAATAAATGATGCTACACTATCTTATAGTGTATAAACTGTTGTTCTTGCTTTATTCAAACAATAATAAGCTATCGAATTCACTTATTTCATGTATGACTCTGTGGTTTCAAGAAACCTTTTGTGTTAAGCTGTATATGTATCAGTTAGTGATATTTGTTTTACTGGCATTCATACAAAGATATGAACTAGTCACCGAATCGCCAACGTTGATTGATATGTTTGAAAATAAGGAAAAGATTAACTCTATTTACTGAACAATTTTTATATACCTATAAATATATTGGTCAATTTCGTATGTGAATTATGTCAATCTTATCTCTTTCTGACTGATGATTATGGGTAATACGACTGTAATTATTATGCAAAATTTTTTGTGACTAGTTAAAGTAATGATGTTATTTGCACTTGAAACACACATTTTTGTTCCGATTTTTCCTTGAGACATCTTTCAACTCGAGGGCATTACGGCCGCGCAGTGTAATCAGAAGTTAGAAAATATTATGTACATGGCTGGAAGATCTCTTTAGATGATTTGCGGTGTTAATAGAATTAACATGTCATCATTATAAGTTGTCTGCAGATGCCAGTCTTGGGAATCACAAGAACAATTCTTTTTAGGCAATCAAAATAAGCTGATTTGCAGTAAAATGATGGCTGACTAACTAATGATGAATCTTTACAGAACTGTATTTATATTGTTCATCATTTCAAGTTGCGAAACATCGCACAAGAAAGACGACAGAAGTGTAGTGATACTATGGTGAATAAAGATGTGGAAGAAAGAATAATTTCGTAGAGATTAGTATAGATACTCGGAATTTGATATTAAGGAGTGGATGACAATTTAGGGGTATGTCGTATACTACCATTCCACATCTATTTATTCCTTTGCGTTCCGAGTGGAACATAAAGCTTCAAGCTTCAGCTTTGAAGTTTCAGTTATTATTATTATTTCCTTTAATTCCTAGGGCTTCAACAGGGCGTCTCCATTGCGTCCGGTTCTCTGCTAGAGTTTTCACCTGGCTCCAAGTCTTCCCAAATGCTTTCATCTCCTCTTCACATGACCTCCTCCAAGTCACCCTTGGATGACCAACTCGCAACTTCTCTTTCGGGTTCCACTCGAGGGCTTGTCTAGTGATGTCACTTGATGGTTTCCTCAGAGTATGGCCAATTCATCTCTATTTCTTCCTGCATATTTGTTTCACAATCGGTTCCTTGTTGGTTTCAGTAGAAGTGGTGTATTTACGCGGAGTGGGGTTGCTATCCTCACACCCAACGTTCCCTTCTTTACCGTACTTACCATCGGCTCAGCGAGGTTTAGGATTGGGTTGGGCGGGCTATCAAACAGCACGTCGTGATAGTGGTTGGCGAGTATACTACCTCTGAGCTGTCGACGCATTCCACACCTAACGTCATCGTTAGTTATCATTTCTGTCCACCTACTCCGGGCAAGGTGACGAAGGAACATGTGATTAAAATCCTGTTATCTTTTCATATTTTCTACTTCCAGCAGCTATATCTCAGTCTTAATACAGGATAAAGCGCACTCTCGGGTAGCCCATACACTCTAGGTATGCGCATTTTATCAAATGTGATGCGCTTTAGCAAATATTAAATAAACCTTCTGTATTCGTGCTGAGATTTTGCCAGTATAAATGGTCCATTACACCTGATATGTTTTCCTAGATAGATGAAGTGGTTGATACATTCAACCACCTCACCCCCTATGTTTAAACTAGGACTTTGCGCAAATCAGTCTTGTAGCATAATTGTAAACTCAACAGAAGCGAACACTCATACCGAATATATTGAGTATTTGGCAGACTATGAGTTTTTTGAGGCTTTCCATTTTTTTTTTCTGGTAGTAAATCAGTTATTAAGACGTCTAATTCAGAGGAAATCTTATCCGTCACCACGTGTATAATGAAACTAAATGAGGAAGATGGTATTGAGCATATAAAGTTGTCACGTTAGACGAAAGTTTCATGGCTGCACAATTTCGAGTAGATTGCTTTCTGAGCATTCATTTGTCACTTAAGAAATAGCCAAGAAC